TTTTTCTTTTTTTTTTTTAATGCCATAATATAGATATTCGTCTTTAAAATAATGAAAGCCGTTTCAAAATTAGGCTGCGCTCATGCGCCGACCTCACCCATCAGTAAATAATTAATCTGATCTCAGGACGTTAAAAGACCCCCGGGATCCCGCACCTCCTCCCTCTTTTTCTGATCAAAGAAATTAAAAATATGTTTAGCGTTGTCTTGATTTTTTATAAACTTTAGGGACACTGAGAAGAGCACCCAGTGTAGGTAGCCGTCCTAGGAAATAGTGGCCGGGGGGGGGGGGGGGGGGAAAAAAAAGCTCCTCTTACCCATTGCTGTTTTAGCCATGGTGGGATGTGCAGGCTCTCAGAGGTGGTGAAGGCAAAGGGGTCCAGCTACAGCAGTGGAGAGAGGGAGAGAAGACTGAATAAGGCACTGAGTCAGCAGAGTGGGGCTGTGCAAGAGAAGGAGCAAGAGGCAGGAGCCCATGAATAATTATCACTCCTCTACCCAAGCAGATTGGCTCTAGAGGTCCCCTGACATGACTCCTGCAGAGCCAGAATCTCCGGGCATTAAATATTGATCCACCAATGGTGCTGGAGTACAAAGTGCCAGAATGCAGTTTGAAATGGAAATCAGCCCTTGAATGCCTCTCCCCCCTTGGTCTGGCTTTAATAGTACATTCCATGTCAAATGTTTTATGTCTTACATGAAAAAAGCCTATTGGTCTTGAAGGCTCTGCTGTTGCTACCTGTAAAACACGCACAAATTCATTTTAACACAGTTTATTCCAAAGAAATGACAAAAAAAGGCACCAATGCAAGGGATTTTCTAAACCATTTCAGTAAAACAGCTGCTCAGGTTGTTTTTACCTCTGCATCCCATTTCCTACAAATGTATACAGACACCATATACAATTGTTTTATACTGAATGTTTCTGCATTTCAGTATTTGTTTTAGTATCCCCAGACCTAACCCTGGCCAACTCGAACTCTGCTAAAACTCGGGGAATGGCAGCTGGACCTGATCGCACTCTCAAAGGGCTCTGGAAAGCCAAAACCAGGATGAATGGGAAAAGAAGCCAATAACCGCTTCCCTGATGTACTAGAGAAAACAAGAGCCACTGGGAAGTTGCGAGCTTGATTCATTTGATAAATTGTGCAGAATGGGACCTGATACGATTATTACATGAAAGGGGATGGACACATTCTAAGGATTCTCTACATTAATTGTAAGGATTCTATATCCCCAGCAAGAGGAAAGCCAGTGACATGACTGACAGCCACTAAACAAATGTGGGTGGTTAACTGAAATTCTTGCTTGAAACATGGCAGTGATGGGACCTATGTGTACACTTCCTAGGGCTGGAAGCAGTTGCTGGCCTAGAGCAGACAGTATCCAAGACGGTGGTACAAAGAGGGAGACACTCTATCTCCACCTTCTCATCCTTACACTGTCCGGCTGGAGCTCATTTACCTCTCCCAGGGGAAAACCAGCCTTATAGTCAAAAGCTTGCAGTGGTAACAGACTCCCACACTGCTTGCAGACAGACAGGGCATAGGGCAAATTTTCAGCTTGGAATTTGGAGGACGCTACTTATGGAGCTGCTCATGGTGTGTATGGGTGGGTGAGAAAAGTAGGAGAGTGGGCAGAGGTCTCCAGAGTGTAGCTGTGTTCTCCCAGAGCAGGCAGGGCATTGGCACTGTTCTCCTTCCTTCAGCAGCGCCATTTGCAGCTGCACAGTCCACGCGGTGTGCCAGCGCTGCGATGCTCTTCCTCTGTGTGTGCTCCCCTAGAACAGGTAACACGGGATTATGCTTTTCAAGCTTCCTTGAGGTCAGTAAACAGCATCTTTGAGTAAAGCAGGGCCCAGAGCATGAGTCTGAGGGCAGCTTTCTCTTTTGAGTCACTATTGATGATTTCTGAATTGCAGGAACCAGTTTTTTTTTTTCTTTAAATGAGAATAGTAAAGCCTGGAAGTGAGTTTGGGGAGAGAAACATCCCCAAAGAGTACAGCGTGCACAGAGAAAGGCGTGTGATTCACCAGCGTGTGAGCTGCGGCACGGCAGATGCTGTGATGGCTCCCTGCTGAGGCAGCTTTGGCTCGTTGGCGGGAGGGGGATGAAGCAGGTTTGCTGGGATGCAGGGAGTGATCAGCTAATGGAAGGCCCTGTCCTCACCGGGACCAGCAAGGCGGCCCCGGGGGCCCTGTGGCCTTTTGGGGTGGGACACTTCTGGGCCTTCAGCTGTGTGGCTGCCTGAGGGGTAGGGTGAGCAGGAGACAGAGATCTAATTGTGCCGGGATGTCTGTAGTGAGAGGAGCTTACTCCTGAAAGGAAAGGGTGAGAAACGACTGAGTGCTGCGCATCCAAGGGCGGAGGGAGGGGGACGCCTCACAGGGCTGGGGAGCCTCGCCATAACCGAGAGACACCCTCCCGGCCCCCAGCACCCCGGCAGGGGTGGCCCTACCCCGGGCTCAGGCGGATGCATGCCGTGGTGGGGGGCTGGCGCGGCGGGGCAGCAGGCGGCGAGCCCGGCCCGGTC